TGAGCACTGTGCAGCAAAGAACATGAGAGATGCTGTGCGCTGACATGGGGTGATTCCAGAAGATAGTGAGTGAAGCAAGAAAGGCAAATGCAGCATGCCACTTTACCTGCCCCCCCCAACACCCATCATGGAGCTTGAACTCAGTCCCTGAGCTCTTTTGCTCAAGTCTAGTGCTCTATCACTTTAAGCCACAGTGCCACTTCCAGGTTTCCGTGGTTAACTGAAGATAAAGAGTCTTACAGACTGTCCTGCCCAGGCTTACTTCCAAATGTGATTCTCAGATCTCAGCCTCCTGAGTAGCTAGGGTTACAGGTGTGAGCCACAAGTGCTCAGCTTAGCATGCCACCTTTAATTACACATATATATGTATATATATGTATATGTATAAAATACAGTATACATACATGCTTTTATATATGTGCTTATCCTGACCCCCACCCAAAAAATGACATCTAAGCTATTCTCTGAATGTTTATGTAACCCAAATTGTCTATTGAAACCCACTCCTCAAAATGCAAAAATATAAAGTGAAGCCTTTATGAATGGGACTAGCGCCCTTATACAAACAGCCTTGAAGACCTACCTGTCTATCAAGCTCTGAGTTCAAAACACAAACACACACACACACACACACACACATACACACAGTGAAGCAAATGAACTATGTGTTTCAAATGAGCAGCAATAACTACACCAAAGGGATAAAAGAATGCAAAATTAACATAGTACTTAAGTTTATAACTTCAGTTATAGAAAGGAAAATTGAAAAAAATTCTGAACTGTTTAAAATGGATTTGGGTTTTATTTGTTTTGTTTTTTTCAATAATGTGGGCAAACAAGTCTAAACGATTTTAATGACAGAGTTGAGTAGAAACAAGCTGTTGAGGACCACAGCTCTCATTGAGACGACAACTGTGTAGCAGAGGAAGAAAGAACAATGAGGAGACATTAAAAAATCAAAGTGCTGGTGCTATGATTGCTAAAACATATACACATATGTACATTTGCGCCCTTGCGCGCGCGCGCACACACACACACACACACACACACACACACACACACACCTTCATGATTCCAGCTTTGCTGGACAAGGCAGAAACTGAAAGCATCCTATCAGCCTTCCCATCTTGGTGTCAGCATTATTTTTCAATCCTTGGAGAATACTGATTTAAGGGTTGAGACAGGACACATGCAAGATGAATCTGAAACGTGTTATATCAGCAAGTAGACCAGGGAAAAAGCTGCCAAGACCCCAAGGCTCTGAGTTCAAATCCCAGTACAGCATAAAAAAAGAAATGTAGCTTCACTTAAAACTTCGTTATAGTGGAGTATATTTATGCTCAAATAAGCATTTCAAAATAGTTTGGGGGCTGGGAATGTGGCTCGGTGATAGAGTGCTTGCATAGCATGCACGAAGCCCTGGGTTCAATTCCTCAATACCATATAAACACAAAATAGTTTGGTTTTAACCTTTTATCCTATAAACACCAACAGTCTACAGCTATACCACCCTGAACATGTGCTAATCTATAAGTATCAATAGAAACTGTGCCAACAGATTTGATTCACACAAACCCACTTTAGTGTCGTCTTTTTAATTCCTATCAAATGTTTCAATAATTTTCAGAAGTGTGAAGAAACTGCCTCAAATGACAGTGTGCATGAAGAGAAGTCAAAACCATAGGCATTAACTCACTGTTTTTATTCTTTTTTTTATGAAGATCAGCAGCAACCAAATGATAAACCCAGCTCTACAGAAGATTTTCAGTGGGTCTCAGAAATGGTAATATAGGCAGTGAAGACAAATCCAAGTGCAGGAAGAAGGGGATATTCCAAAAAAAAAAGTCCACAAGCCGGTGCAGGAGGTTCACGCCTGTGATCCTAGCTACTCAAGAGGCTGAGATCTGAAGATCACAGTTCAGCTCCAGCAGAAAAGTTCCCATGAGACTCATCTCCAATTAACCATTCAGAAACCAGAAGTGGAGCTGTGGCTCAAGTAGAGCACTAGCCTTGAGCACAAAGAGGCTCAGGGACAATGCCCAGGCCCAGAGTTGAAGCCCCACAACTGATTTAAAAAAAAAAAGAACATCCACAACAAGTGCATAGAATTAACACCTGACAGCAGGTGGCTGGCTGGTCCTGCGTGCAGGGAAACTCAAGGTTCCTACTGGGAGCAAACTGGGCACTGGGTGCCAGAAAGAGCCATGGAGCTGTGGTGAGAGGAAGTGTGTACTGCTGAGTTCCACACACATCCTTTATCCCTGTTTCATGTCATTCTGTCCTTGAGCCTCTAAACAAGAACCAGGCTCAGAGCTCAGCTACACAGCCCTTACTCAAACCTCCCTGCAAAAGGAAGAAACAAAAGGAATTACAACCCCCATTTCAAAGGAAAAATGGAAAGTCATTTCCATAATGTCCCTTTCAACCCACCTCATTATCGATTCATCAACATTATTTCATTCCAGATCCCTGAGCATCTGATGAACTCATAAACCACTGCCCAAGAATCTGCAAAACCTGACTTCAGATAATCTCTCATGTTCTATCCTATGAGGTGATTTTGCCAGTCTTTTGACATTAAGGATCTCTAGTTTTATAAGACCACAGCAGAACACTTGCACCTGTGCTAACATAATCACAAAACCAGCCACAAAGCCAAGTGATGTCTTTTATATCTTATTTGGACCAGGGAAGTGCTTGCTACTCTACAGTGGGTTAGAAAGACAATGGGAGAATTCTGCCTTTGACAAACTATTCATTCCAACATTACTGGTAACTCCATGTATTTAGAAGTCTTTCAGATTCCTGATCATTTCCACAATCTTTTTTACTCCTGACCTTAACCACTTTTGACATACACTAACCCACATTCAATAAATGAATGCAACTTTGACATGGACTCTCAGCACTTCAAATTTTCAACCTTCTGATCACCACTACTGCTTAGCTTTACTTTGTTTTGTTTTAGAAGTAGCAGAGTTTGAACTCAAGGCCTTATGCTCCCTAGACAGACACTCTACAACCCCAGCCCTTTATGCTTTTAATTTTTCAGATGCAGCCTTACACAGAGATCTTCCACTGCTCCTACCTATGTCTTCCAAGTAGTGAGGTTGCAGGTACACATCACTATGCTCAGCTAACTGCTAAGTGAGGGGTCTTATTACCTTTATTGTCCAGACTGGCCTTGAACCTCAAACATCCCAATCTTTGCTTACAAGTAGCTGGAGATTACTGGTGTGAGCAACTATGCCCAGCCATACATTTTCTTGTGTGATCAACTAATAAGCAAATGTGGGCTAGAATACACATTTTCAGTTGGTTTTGTATGGACTCTTAGCATTTGCTTATGCCTTCTTCTCATACACAGACATGTGCACTAATTTTCCCACTAGGTGAATATCTGTGGAAAGGGCCTGTCTCCCCCTTGCAGCTGTGGAACAGTCTGTGGCCTAAGCTCAGCCAATCACAGACACACACTAATGACTTTGAGGGGCAGTTAGAAGAACAGGTTCTCAAGGGCCTGACTCTCCAGCAGCCAACAGTTTACAAAAGCACAGCTACAGTGGAGCACAGAAAGCACAATAACCAAGTTCTGGTGGTATGTGCTGCAGAATCCGGCATGAGCAGTTGAGAGCCATGGCATTCTGTGGACCCCAACTGTACTCTCCCTGTAGTACAGTTCTAACTTGGCTCCTGCCCATCCTTAGAGGCAGGTTTCTCCAGACCTTAAAGCAATGCTGAGAACAGAGGCCCCTATCCTTCTACAAAATTCCCTTTTTCCTTAGATCACCAGAATACTTGCAAAAATGAAAGAAGTAATGACATAGTATGGTGACTCAAGATTCACTGCTACTCACAAAAGGTGTGTGTACTTTTTTTTTTTTGAAAAACAATTCCACATGTTTGTGACACAAGTTGTTCTGACAATTCAGTTACGAATTTGTCACTGCTTAGCACCAAACTTTTCTATTCCAAGTACTAAACTAACATAGAACTCTGATTTACTGCCAAGGTGGCCTATATGTTCTTCAATAATTAATACAGGTCTTAAGAAACGTAAGTTCTCCAATTTGGAATGCATTGAAACTCTGGATGCACTCCTCAAAAACGGCCGTGCAGAATCAACAGCCATCCGCTCTCTGACTTGCCTGAGTGAGAAAAGCTGGGGCTTTCAGTATGAGAACTTCAAGGTGATCTCTCCTCAACCACAACAAATGTACCAGTACCGTTGCTTGAACTCAGGGTCCGAGTGCTGTACCTTAGCTTTTCACTCAAAGACTGCATTCTATCACTTGAGCCACACCTCCACTTTCAGCTCTTTGAAGCTTACTGGGAAATCTGAGTCTCAGAGGACTTTCCTACCTGGATTGGCTTAGAACTGCAATCCTGGCGTCTCAGCCTTCTGAGTAGCTAGGATAATAGGCCACAGGCGCTTGGCAAAATTTGGGGGTCTTTATCACTGCCTCAGGAAGAGAGAGATAGAATTATTGTTTGGTACTTTAAACTGCAAGCGCAATACAAGCCGTAATTATTTACTTATCTGCTGGTACCGGAGCGGGGCGCACAGCGGGCGCTCTGCCATCGAACCGCACCTCCAGCCTCAGTGTCCTCACGCATAAACCCGGGACGGAGAGACCAGCTACCGCCGGGCTCCGTCCCTTCCTCGACGCCCACCCCGCAGGCCCAGAACCAACCCGCCCTCTGCGCTCGCACGACTGTCCGACACGAACGCGCGCCCGGGCTGCACGGGGCGGAGGTGTGGGCCGGCCCCCGCGCGCGCCCCGCGCCCCGCAACCGCTCCGCACAGCCGCCCCGACGGCCCCGCAGGCGCCTCGGCCCGCCTCGCCGGCTCCGAAGTCACCGCGCCGCCGCCGCCGCCCGCTTCGCCCCGCGCGCCTCCCGCCGCCGCCCCGGCTGAGCCCGACCGACGCCCGGGACGCCGCGCGCCGCGGAGCCTGCGGGCGCCCCCCGCCCCCACCCCGCAGCCGCCCGGGACCTACCCGACCAGGCAGCGGTCGCAGACGACGCCGCGACTCCCCTTGCACACTGTGTACGCCAGGGGGTCCGAGCGGAACAGCAGCTCGCCGGGGCGCAGCGCCACCAGGGCGCGCAGCCCGTTCCCCCGGTCCGCGGTCGCAAACTTCTCCACCTTGGGCGACTCCATCCCCGGGCAGCCCGCCCCTCACACGTCCGGAGCTGCCCGCGGCGGGCGTCCCGAGGCGGCCGGACCGCGCGCCTGCGCACTGCGCCTGCGCACAACCCAGGGGCGGGGCGGGGCGGGCGGGGCAGGCGGGGCTGGCTGGCCTAGGAGCATGCGCAGACCGTGCCGGAGCCCGCCGTCCCGCGGCTTTGGCCCCACGCTTCGTTACCCTTTCAGGAGTCGCCGAGAAGTTCAGCGTAACGTGCGCTGGGCACCTGCGTAGCCCCGCCGGGACCAGACAGTCGCGAGCGTCCTGTTATCCGCGTCCCGCCGCCGGCGCTGGCGTGGGTCTGCCGGTCGCGTGGCGGCCCTGGCGCGGCGAGGTGCGCCCGGTCCCGCCGGCGCGCACGTGGGTGCGCCCGGTCCCCGCCTGCGCGCGCGTGGGTCCGCCGGTCGCGTGGCCGCCCTGGCGCGGCAAGGTGCGCCCGGTCCCCGCCGGCGCGCGCGTGGGTCCGCCGGTCGCGTGGCCGCCCTGGCGCGGCGAGGGTGCCCCCGGTCCCCGCCGGCGCGCGCGTGGGTCCGCCGGTCGCGTGGCGGCCCTGGCGCGGCGAGGTGCGCCCGGTCCCCGCCTGCGCGCGCGTGGGTCCGCCGGTCGCGTGGCCGCCCTGGCGCGGCAAGGTGCGCCCGGTCCCCGCCGGCGCGCGCGTGGGTCCGCCGGTCGCGTGGCCGCCCTGGCGCGGCGAGGGTGCCCCCGGTCCCCGCCGGCGCGCGCGTGGGTCCGCCGGTCGCGTGGCCGCCCTGGCGCGGCGAGGTGCGCCCGGTCCCCGCCGGCGCGCGCGTGGGTGCGCGCGTGGGTCCGCCGGTCGCGTGGCCGCCCTGGGGCGGCAAGGTGCGCCCGGTCCCGCCGGCGCGGCGAGGGTGCGCCGGGTCCCCGCGAACGCAGAGGGGAGGGACGTCCTGTCCGCCCGCGGGACACCGGCTCGCTCTGCAGACGGCGCGCCCCGCGCCCCGCGAGCCCCGGCCTCTACCAGAATCGCATCCAGGGGCGGACTCCCGCGCCCCTGGGCGCCCGGGACGCGCCCGTGGGCTCTTCCTTCCACACCCATGGCCATTAGTGACCTGCTCACGGGCTCCGCAGATCCGTGAGCCCTTTTACATTTCCGTGATGATGGAGCCAGCGGGGGGCGGGGGGGGGGGGGAGGGGGAAGGAGAAAGGAGAGGAGGAGAAGAAGGGAGGGAGGGAGGGAGGGAGGGAAGGAAGGAAAACAGCATCCCTGCCGGCATCATTTCCATAACGGTTTCCTGTGTAAATCCGTGTCTCAGGAAGAAAGGTTCTGCAGGTGTCGGTCCACAGCTCTTGGCCAGCTTGCTGCCTCGGGACCCGTCTCAAGGCAGCACATCATGGTGCTGAGTGGCAGAGAAACATCATTCACGGTGGCCAGGAGAAAGCCAAAGCAGCCCGGCCCCAGGTCCAGACACATCCAGATGTGTGTGATGCCAGAGAGCCCCTGAATGCGGCTAGGCTGTGTAGTACAAGGAGACCGGCCCGACGCCCGCCCTCTGCCACCCTGAGTTGAGCTGGCCGGCTCTTCCGCAGCCCCCACATGAGCAAGGCAAGTCCTTCTTGCCACGCATTTCCTCACAGTCCCCCACCTCGAGGCAATTTCTGGAAACTAAGTCTGGATTAACGTAACCTCCCCAGAGCTTTGGACTTTCTGGACTTCAGAGCTTTAATGTGTAGCCAGGAAGTTCACCTTAACTTCAAATTCTTGGGCACACTTGGTAGGTGTAGCCACTTAGATATCACATTGTTAGCATGTTTAGCAAATGTAGCCTAACATCCCTCTCCAACCTTCATCCCCATTTTTTTTAACAGTACTAGGACTTGAACTAAGGTCTTTTCCTCTCATATTTATCACTAAAAGCTGGTGTTCTACCACTGGAGCCTCACCTCCAGGTCTGGATTTTTGCTGGCTAATTGGAGATAAGTGTGGAGAATTTGTCTACACCAGCTAACTCCAAACTCAATCCTCAGATCTCAGCCTGCCATACTTCCCTTTCCTATGATGGTGAGGATGGAGCCCAGGGCCTCACACATGCTAGGCGGCTTGTGATCTACCATTGAGCCACATACTTATCCCAACGTCTTTTTTTTCCCCCCCTTTTTTTTCAGAATTTAAGTTCTACTTTGCTGGATGCAAAACAAAGACAGCATATATGGTCTCTGGATTCCTACACAGAAGGGAGCAGGAAAGAAAATACAAGATGGTCCCAATACTTATAGTCCTTGCTCTACCACATTTCTAAACCCTTTCTTAACTCACAAATTCCTTATGACAGTAGCAGTATGATCAAGACACCTTTACTACCCATTTAAAAAATGAGACTGAGAACCGAGGGTTGTGGTTCAAAGCCTTTCCATGTAGGAAGTCCATGAAACTCTTATCTCCAATTAGTCACCAAAAAGCCAGAAGTAAAGCTGTGGCTCAAGAAGATGAGTGCTAGCTTTGAGCAAAAGAGCTCAGAGAAAGTGCTGAGGCCATGAGCTCAAACCCTAGGGCAACGCTAAAATAAATAAATGAATAAATAAATAAATAAAGTTAAGGCTCCTGAACCTCAGTCTAATGGGTACAGCCTCCTTGATCCTGGTAATCAAGTTTAGGGTGAGCAACTTAGTAACAAAGTTTAGAATGTGGCTCAATGTTCCATTCTAAGGAAGAACTCTGGTTGGTTGATGCATCCTCAAAACATGAAAAAGAAAATGAAGTATGGCATAACAGGAGTATGACTGTGATAAGATGATGGGTACAGTGAAGATGCTTGAGTAGAAATGGAGGCGTAAGGCACAGCCTATGGAGGAACAGGAGACCACTAGGACTGTGTGAAGATCATCTATCCACAGATAGGAATTACTTAGGTATTAATGAAGGGTTATAACAGCAAACAAATCTGAGATTTGCTGTATCCAATGACTTTAACAAATATCCTAGGTGTTTGTCAAGATCTAACCACCTCAACTTTCTTGATGGAACAAAAATGCAAGAGTTCGTTTTCTGAGACAAGGTTTTGTGCCTCTTTCCCAGGCAAACCATGAGCTCCTAAGGCACAAGGATCCTCCCATCTCAGCTGCTCCATTAGTTGAGACCAAACACAAGCCACCAAAGTGCCCAGCTCCTGGAAAAACCTGACATACAGAGATTGGAATATTCATGAAAACACACTGACTGTACACGATAGAACTAGAGGTGAGTTGGATTCAATTTAATATTCACACTTAAATGTTGAGACAAAAAAATTATTGTAAAATAGTTGAAATTTAATTGATTTCATCTTGTAGAATCTGAAAACACATTTCAAAATATGGAAAGGTAAAACAAACCAATTAAATCACTATGACTTACTTTCAAAGCTCAGTAACATACAAATTCTGTCGCCGGGCTGGGAAGGTGGCTCAGTGGTAGAGTGCTTGCCTTGCATGCCTGAGGCCCTGGGTTCGATTCCTCAGCACCACATAAGCAAAAAGAAAAAAGCCGGAAGTGGCGCTGTGGCTCAAGTGGTAGAGCGCTAGCCTTGAGCTGAAGAGCTGGGGGACAGTGCCCAGGCCCAGAGTTCAGGCCCCATGACCAGACCCAAAAAAAAAAAACAAATTCTGTCGCCCCCTAGGAGGTTACAAAAGACCAACTATGGTGTACATTGAGTATTTATTGTTTTTGTTAGTCCTAGGACTTGCACTCAGTGCCTGGGCACTGTCCCTGAGCTTCTTTTGCTCAAGGCTAGCACTCTACCACTTGAGCCACAGCACCCCTTTGCCTTTTTCTGTTTATGTGGTATTAAGGAATTGAACCCAGTGCTACATGCATGCTAGGCAAGCACTCTACCAGTAGGCCACATTCCCAGCCCCTACACTGAGTATTTAAACTAATACAAAGATGAAGATGTATGGTTAAAAGAATTTTTAAGCCAGGCGCCGGTGGCTTACGCCTCTAATCCTAGCTACTCAGGAGGCTGAGATCTGAGGATCGTAATTCAAAGCCAGCCCAGATAGGAAAGTCCGTGAGACTCTTATCTCCAATAAACCACTAGAAAACCAGAAGTGGCGCTGTGACTCAAGTGGTAGAGTGCTAGACTTGAGCTGAAGAGCTCAGGGACAACACCCAAGTCCAGAGTTCAAGCCCCATGACAGACCAAAAAAAAAAAAAAAAGAATTTTAACTAGCAATACCCTACAACTACCAGTATATTACAGTAGATGAGAACTGATTTACATATCTATTGTGTTGGAGATTAAATCCAAGGAACTGCATACCAAGCCTGTGCTCTACCACTGAGCTACAACCCAAGCCTTACAGCAGATAGGAATATAAAATACAATTTCAATCTGGTCAAGTCCACATTTAATTCAAATTTCAGTTTTATTCAGTTGTGAATAAAATCAGTTTATCCAGCAAAGCAATAGTATCAACCTCAGAAGAAACACCTTATTTAGTCCTGGTGTTGAAGGATCTGAGTTTTCCACTTGTGCCTACTGCCATCCAGCCGCATACAGTCCTCTCTACACCAGGGAGTCGTCCATGCTGTCATCATACAACCACTTGTAGGGGCCATCGCCTTCCATACTCTCTATTCTTTCAAAAACCTGCTTAAAGTCACGAGGGGACATTTTATTGACCTTCTTTGTTTCAGAAATTTTCATTTTCCTCAATATTTCCTTTGAATCAATTGGACTCAGTGCACTGAAAAAGGAAACACAGGTGAATGCACTTAATTTTTCACAGCTGTCAGTTGATATCAACAGTTGGCCTTGATGCTCAACTGAAAATAACACATAATAAAGTTAATTTGGTACAAGAGCTTGCATAGATGTTCATTTATGTCTATGCCTAAAGCTTCACTGCCAATCTGTTTTAAAAAAAGCGAATCTAGATTTTGAACAAACTCTACTCCATTCTTACACAACATTCTAGTGTAACCATGACCCATCCACAACGTCTTCTGGACTGAGGATGAAGCTCAGTAGCAGAGCAGTTCTTAGTATAAGGGAGGCCATGGGTTCATTTCTTTCTAGCATTACTAAATCATACATAACAACTACTTAAAGGGGAAGATTTCTTTCTACTTTTAAGTGATACTGTGACACTGCAGGCAAAGCACATTAATAAAGCTTTTTTCTAGTTTCATCTTGGCTTTGAACAGGTGAAGATGTTTGTTGTAAGCTGTAACGTGACCTGATTATGGAGTATCTAGCTATTAAAGCCAGATTCCTTAGCAGACCAAATCTTTTGTCATTGATGTGTTCTGGCAAAAATTACTTTGATGTTTAAAGAAAATTTTTGTTCAAATGGCTTGAGTTTCATCAGAGAGGGTCCAATTTTCCATACGTTGTAGTTAATGTTGCATGTGCTAGTCCTCTAGAAATACGTATGAGTTAGGCTGACACAACTTGGTGGAACTTCACAGGGCTTGTTTCCCAAAGAAAAGTATACTATTTAGATAAATAAAAATAGACTTCCCTAGATGTTGTGTGGTAAAACACTAAAGCCACTCAGCAGCAGAGCTTGTCTATGAAGATGTAGTGAATTCACAGTATGCTTTAAAAGGTAGCAAAGACAGATGAGTTAAAAGAAATCAAAACAACAATGAAAAAATCAGAAATGGGGCTGAGGCTCCAAGTGGTAAAGTACTAGCCTTGAGCAAAACAGCTCAGCAACAGCACCTGGGCCATGGATTCAAACACCACAATGAGCAACCAGGAAAAAGGAACTAGTGCCTAAATAGGAGAGACATGAGAACACTATTCTTAACCAAGATGGAAATACACTTCTAATGTAAAATGCTGTCCCATTCAACTGTTATTTCACACTGGCTTTTATTTGTTTACTTACCGTAAGTGATGTAGAAGACTGGCATTGGGCTTCCCAAAACAGTGCCGAACCATATGAAAAAATATGTCAAAGTTAATAGGAGTTAAGTTTTCTGTAAATAAATTTTTACGAGGAATCAATCGAATAAAATACATGTTTTGTTCCATCAGTTCTGATATTTCCTGGAGAAGGAGGAAAATAAATTGTATCAGTCGTGAAATACCACTGGCACTGGCCTAAAATCAGACCATTTCTAAATTGTTAATTTTGTGTCTGCATCATTGATAAGAATGAGAGGGAAAAAAGGAAAACGGGATCTTCAGATTGAGTTTACATGCTGTGATTAGGCCATCATTAGCTTTTAATTCTAAAGTAGAAGTTCTATGAAGTCCAAAAACATTTTATAACACTTCAGCTAATTTAGCAGAAATTCACAAGTAGCTCTGAGATAAAGGTAAATAAACCTACTATAAAATCATCAATTCAATTCCTTTTAGAATAGAAGGCAGGTAAGATGGCACATATGTCAAGCCCCAGATACTTGAGAAGCTAAAATAGGAGGATCATTTAAACCTGCAGTTTGAGGCCAGGATGGGCAACGCAGCAAAATCCTGTCTCACTGCAACAACAACAACAACAACAAAAAAAAAAAAAAAAATCCTGTCTCAATTAAAACAGAAACAAAACAAAAACAAAACAAAAATTGAAGTTCCAATTTCTGGGTTAGAATCAAGATGTACTTACCACCGAATTGATTTATTAAGGGCTAACTAGTTTATTAGAAATTATTGTAAGAAATTATTATTACTATTACTATTAGAAATTTATAATTGCATCATAAAATAGAAAATTTTGTTCTAAAGTTAGATGAATATTTACCAAAATTAGATGGATATTATAGTAACTCACAATCTCCATATTTTAGATGCTTTTCATTTGGAGAAAGGAAGTCATATTCTCTGTTTAAGCCCATTTCTATGCAGAACAGCTAAGAAATACAACTCTCCAAAATAACTTCAACTGGGCTGGGAACATGGCTTAGTGATAGAGTGCTTGCCTAGCATGCATGAAGCCCTGGATTCAATTCCTCACTACAACATAAACAGAAAAAAACAGAGATGGTACTGTGGCTCAGGTGGTAGAGTGCTAGCCTTAAGCCAAAGCAGCTCAGGGACAGTGCCCAGGCTCTAGACTGGCCCCAGGACTGGAAAAAAATAATAATAACAACTCTACTCTATTAAATGTAGCAGCCAGTGTTTACAGGACATTTTTAGTTATTCTAAAATTAAAACTTTAGGTAAATACAGAATACTAGATAGTCTTAAGAAAACAAAGATGTTCCATTGGGGAATGGGGGTAATGTAAATTTATTAATTTATTCTTACCTTATTCTTTGGTTTTTCTAGCTTCCCACTTTGGGCATATACATCAAATGATGACCAAGGCTCCTGGAGGGAAGAAAAACAAAAACAAAACTTTCTTTTAGTTGTTTTTGATTAAAGTATTTCAATATATTACTGCTCAGTGGCAGACAGCTTGCCTAGCATGAGAAAATCCCATTAGGTCAGTCCCTGGTTCTCAGGAAGAGAAGAGCAAAAAAACAAAGACCCAACTGAACGGCAATTCCTTTTATTAAAACAGATAAAAACAAATAGGAAAATAGATAAGAGCCTTAAAATTCCAGGTGGAGGCTAGTGTCAGAAAGGACGACTCATGGCTGACTTCACTGTGAACAGGCTGCATTCCAGAGGTGCAGGAAGGCCACTCTAAGGGCAGGAAATCAAAGCAGGGTCAGCACCACATGCTCGGTTGGCCACAGTGGTGGAAGGCATGGCTGTGGGGGCATAGGACCCTTACTTCGGTGCACAAGGTACAGCAGGCAAGGAAACCTTTGAGACCCTGAAAAGTGAGTCTGACAGCCACTTTGCAGCTGCAGTTTCATGATGGAGCAAGTGCTAGAAATGGTGGGTCCAGAAAGACCTCATAGCTAAGAGCTATGAGGACAGAGAGGCTTAGATAAAAAGCCACCAGGATGAGGGGGGGAGAGGTGGGCAGGAGGAAGTATCTTAGCCAATAAGAACAACAGTGCTGAGGTTTCCTGAGAAAGAAGGCAGGGTCAGGGAGGTGAAGACTAGGTGCACACGTATGCTGGGGACAGAGAACAAAGGCTGAGACATGAAAGACAATGATAAGAGATCCAACTGAAGAACCTCAGTGTTTGGGGAGGAAAAGAAAAGAATTGGAATTGAAGCTCAGTTCAAATGAGGTGACATTCTAACTTTTTTTGTGTTCTTTTAAAAAATTCTTTTTTTGTCAGTCATGGGGCCTGAACTCTGGGCCTGGGCGCTGTCCCGCAGCTCTTCAGCCCAAAGCTAACGCTCTACCACTTGAGCCACAGCACCACTTCCAGCTTTTCTGCTTCTGTGGTGTTGAGAAATCGAACCCTTGCTCATACATGCAAGGCAAGCACTCTACCACTGAGCCTCATTCCTAGCCCCAACATTCTGATTTAATAAATAAATAAACTATGTATATTAGACAGAAGGAAGGGCTTAACATCTTCCAGGACAAAGGCAGGAAGAAATGCCACCACACAGACACTCACTACAAAGACCTCAAACTTAAACCAATACATCTTGAAAAGAGCAAAAGCTTACAAAATAGCAAACTGTAGTCAGTCCTCAGCCATCAGCAGGACGCGAGTTCCAGGTCCTCATCTGAAATACCAATGTGTGGCCCCCAACTCTCATATAACATGATACAGTATTTGCATACAAGCTACTCTGCATCCTACAGTCACAGCACTTGGCTCTGTAAAGAATTGCTATCCTCTATTACTTAGGGAATGATGACAAGAAAGAATTCTACAAATATCTTTAATTCAAAATGGTACTTGACCACTAGTTCTGCAACAGCTGACACATGCAGGGATCTGCCAAGATAAACAAGAGAATGGGCCAAACATGTAGGAATGAAAGTTTTCCTTAAAAAAAAAACTAAGTTTTCCTAATTAAAAAAAAAATGTCCTGACATGCTAGCCCTATGCTATCCAATAAGGAAGTTTGTAGCCACATGTGCTTAACAGAACACTTGAAAGTGTCCAGAGATTCAGATGCGCTATAATTGTATAAACATAGTAAATTTCAAAGACTTGGCATAAATATATTGAATTGACGGGTTAAACAAAATTTAATTTTTTTTTTTACTTTTTATAATGTGGCTATTAAAATATATAAAGTTAAATTAAGTGTGGTGGTGATACAAACACAATGCCAGCATTTGGGAGGTGTAGCAGGAGGATTACTAGTTGAGGCCTTAAAAATGTGTAATCCTATCTACTCAGGAAGCTAGGATCTGAAGATTCAAAGCCAGCCAAGGCAGGAAGGTCCATGGGACTCTTATTTCCTATTAACCACCAAAAACCTGGAAGTAGACCTTTGATTCAAGTGGTAGGATGCTATATCATTAAGCAAAAAAGCTCAAGGACAGCATCTAGGTCATGAGTTCAAGCCCCAGAACTGGCAGACAAAAAAGTCTAAAAGTCATGTGATATATATGATTCACATTGTATTTCTATTAAACTCTGATCTGTTGTAAGGAAATAGAGGGTGATGCTATGGAATGAACAACTCTGTGGCCATTAAAAACTTAAAATTTGAGCTGGGCATCGGTAGCTCGCGCCTATAATCCTAGCTACTTAGGAGGCTGAAATTTGAGAATCACGGTTCAAAGCCAGCCCAGGCAGAAAAGTCCGTGAGACTCTTTTTTTTGTCCAGTCGTGGGGCCTGAACTCTGGGGCCTGGGCGCTGTTCCTCAGCTCTTCAGCTCAAGACTAGCGCTCTACCACCTGAGCCACAGCGCCACTTCCCGGCTTTTTTCTTTTTGTTTATGTGGTGCTGAGGAATCGAACCCAAGGCCTCATGCATGCAAGACAAGCACTTTACCACTGAGCCACTTTCCCAGCCCCCCAAAGTCCGTGAGACTCTTATCTCCAATAAACCACTAGAAAACTGGAAGTGGCGCTTGTGGCTCAAGCAGTAGAGCACTCGCTTTGAGCTGAAGAGCGCAAGGATAGCGCCCAAGCCCAGAGTTCAAGCCCCATGACCGACAAGAAAAAAAAAAAAACAAACAAAATTTCCAGGGGCTAGTGGCTTACACCTATAATCTTAACTACTTAGGAGAGTGAGATCTGAGGATCATGGTTCAAAGGCATACTGCACAGGTAAATTTATGAGACTCTTAGTTCCAATTAACCTCCAGAAAACTAGAAGTGGAGCTGTGGCTCAAAGTGGTAGAGAACTAGCCTGAATGAGAGCTAAAAGACAGCACTTAGGTTAAGTTCAAGCCTCATGAACCCCCAAAAACATAATTGAAAAGCAGCTGGGCACAAGTGGCTCATGCCTATAATCCTAGCTACACAGGAGGCTGAGACTGAGAATCATGGTTCAGAGCCAGCTTGGGCAGCAAAGTCTAAGATTCTTGTCTTCAATTAACTATGAAAAAACTGGAAGTAAAGCTGTGGCTCAAAGTGGTACAGTACCAAACTTGAGCAAAAAAAGCTCAAAGACAGCACCTAGGCACTGAGTTCAAGCTCTAGGTCCAGCACAAAAAACTTAAAAAGCAAGCACTGTGAGAAATACCCTGTAACCTGTAATCCTAGCTACTTACTTGGGAGGATAAGATCAGAAGGACCAAGGTTCAGGACTAGCAAAAAAAAAAAAAAAATGAAGCTTATGAGACATCCCCCCCCCCCCCCCCACTCCTGCCATCTCAACTAGTAAAATGGCAAACAGCTGTATACAGGGAGGCATAATAATCCAAGCCAACCAGGCAAAATATGAGCCCATTTGAAAACGAAAGCAAAAAGAGTTAAAGCTGAAGTGGTCAAATCTGCTATACATGTGCCATAAAGCAAGCTTCTCTTCAATGATGGGATTCTTTCAGCTTCATGTTCAGTGCCTGATCTCCATTTTGGAGCCTCCTGAAATGAACATTCATTCCCTCAGGACATGCAGAAAGACTTTACCCACCTTGTGAAGAAGCTTGACCTCACAGGCCACCTGACCAATCACACTCAGTACCTGGTAAGTGTCTGGACTTTTGGGAGTGGCCGTCAGTCTCTAGAGGAAGAAAATAAAAATTTGATACACTTAGAATCAATGCACATGAGACCTTCTTGTAATCATATGATGGATCAGGGCAAAAATCTGATTGAAGAAAATGGAAGCAAGACCTAACTATCAACATGATGAAAACAACAATTCCAGTCCTCTGGACCCTACAACATGGCAGAGGAGACAACAGTGACTAATGACACAAACAATAATTTAGGCCCTACAGGAGGGACAGGTGTGTCAAAATATTCTATTATATCTTTTGTAAAGAATTGTTAAGGTGCTGGGAAGTTGGCTCAGTGGTAGAGCGCTTGCCTTGCATGCCTGAGGCCCAGCCTGGGTTTGATTCCTCAGCACCACATAAGCAGAAAGAAAAAAAGTGGGAAGTGGCACTGTGGCTCAAGTGGTAGAGCGCTAGCCTTGAGCTGAAGAGCTGAGGGACAGCACCCAGGCCCAGAGTTCAGGCCCCACAACCGGACCCAAAAACAAACAAACAAACAAAAAAAAAGAATTGTTAAGGCTGTCTGGCACAATGGCTCATGCGGTCATCCTAGCTATGTGGGAGGAGGAGATTGGAAGACTGTGGTTCAAGATCAGCTCAGGCAAAGTCACTGAGACTCCATCCAATAATTCGGTATGGTGGTATTGACCTATCATCCTAGCTACATGGTCTAAGCTGACCAAGTTAAAAAGTTTGAAATCCTGGGCTAAGAATGTGGCTTAGTAGTAGAGCGCTGGCCTAGCATGCATGAAGCCCTAGGTTGAAATCCTGGGCTAAGAATGTGGCTTAGTAGTAGAGCGCTGGCCTAGCATACATGAAGCCCTAGGTTGAAATCCTGGGCTAAGAATGTGGCTTAGTAGTAGAGCACTGGCCTAGCATACATGAAGCCCTAGGTTGAAATCCTGGGCTAAGAATGTGGCTTAGTAGTAGAGCGCTGGCCTAGCATGCATGAAGCCCTAGTTGTTTCTTCAGTACCTCATATGCAGAAAAAGCCAGAAGTCATGCTGTGGCCCAAGTGGCAGAGCGCTTTGAGCAAAAAGGTCAAGCCCCAGGACTGGCCAAAAAAAAAAAAGTGAAATCCCATTATACTCATAACCTGACTAGAAGAATTGAAATTCCTTTGTACATCTGCTTAATGATAGTTTTTGATTGTTGTTTTTTTTTTTAATTCATTTGAAAACTAAAGGCCAAAGAAAAAGGTATGTATGTCTCAAGTGATAGTGTACCTGCCTAACAAGTATAAGGTGCTGAGTTCAAAGCTCAGTACAATGTGCTTGCCTTGCATGCATGAGGCCCTGGGTTCGATTCCTCAGCACCACATAAGCAGAAAAAGCTGGAAGTGGAGCTATATGGCTCAAGTGGTAGAGCGCTAGCCTTGAGCTGAAGAGCTGAGGGACAGCACCCAGGCCCACAGTTCAGGCCCCACGTCCAGAAAAAAAAAAAAAAAAAAAAGCTCAGTACAAAAAAAAATATTGGCTGGGCGCTGGTGGCTCATGCTTGTAATCCTAACTACTCAGGAGGCTGAGATCTGAGGATCACGGTTCAAAGTCAGCCTGGGCAGGAAAGTCCGTGAGACTCTTATCTCCAATATACCACTAGAAAACAGAAAGTGGTGCTGCGGTTCCAAGTGGTAGAGCTCTTGCCTTGAGCTGAAGAGTGCAGGGACAATGCTCAAGCCCAGAGTTCAAGCCCCACGACCAACCAAAAAAAAAATTGTTAAAGGCTGACATTTGTCAGATGAGCTATCACCTGAATGATATAAAAGGCCTAACAGAAAACAAAGCAAGCAAGCAAGCAAGCCCATGGTGGAAGAGGACGTGAGCAAGTGGCAAGACAAAAACTGTTTCTGTATGTTATGAGCAAGCTGGGAGAATCTGAGCCCTCAGCGCTCCTTTTACCACCAGGTAATTGTTTTTACTCTCTGGTGATTCACATCTTGCCTCCACTGCTTTCCCATGTACAATGAAGGGATTCCTGATACACCAGAACAATAGATTAATAACAGGAGGGATGCTGAGCCAAAAGACTCCTCCCACAGCAACTCCCATAATTTCAGAAGGCTTCCTAACACAGAAAATGAAAAGCAAAGAGAGGAGAGGCCACTGTTTTGAACTAAGCGCCCAACAGACTGAAGTACCAGGTCACCCTGCTGCAACTAAGGGCTTAGCTGTTACCAGAAATCAGGATTAGAATAGTAACAGGATGAGGGAAAATGGAACGTGTGCGCACTACTGGCTCACGCCTGTAATCCTGCTACTCAAGAGGCTGAGAGCTGAGAATTGAAAATCGAAACCAGCCCAGACGGGAAAGTCATGTCACTCTTATCTCTAATTACCAAAAAGCTTGAAGTGGAGATGTGGCTCAAGTGGCAGAACACTCAAGCCCTGAGTTCAAGTTCCAGGACCCCCCTCTCCAAAAAAAAAACAAAAATGCGTGTGGCATGTGGAAAACAGTGCACATATAGCCTCACCCCCACTGTAAAGTATTTACACACAACTTCGCCCCTAGCATGAAGTACATACACAGAGCTTCACCCTCACTGAAAAGCTATGCACACATAGCTTCACAATAAAGCTAAGAGACACCTGGTGGAAGAGCCCAGCGGTAAATAGCTGAACAGATCAGATATGCACACTTGAATACACAGGGAACATTACTCACTTTGAACACACAGCAGTTTCTAGGGCCAGGGGGAGAGCAGACAGGGTTAACCCTCACTGCAACAAGGAGTTAATCCTCAGTGCAACAAGTAGGAAGGTTTGGAGCTGGGCAGCAGTCATAGTTGTGTAATATACACTTACTGCTACTAACTGTACACATAAGATGGCAAACTTTACATCATATTTTACCATGATTTTTTAAAACTATTTTAGCTGGGCACTTAGTGGCTCATGCCTATCTGTAATCTTAGCTACTCAGGAGGCTGAGATATGAAGATCATAGTTCAAAGCCAGCTGGGGCAAGAAAGGCCATAAGACTCTTATTTCCACTTAACCCCAGAAAACTAGAAGTGGTGCTGTGGTTCAGAGTATTGTAAAATGCTAGTCTTGAAGAGTTCAGGGATAGCACCTAGGCCCCGAGTTCAAGCCTTACAACCAACAAAAAAAAAAAAAAAAAAAGAAAGAAACTTTTTTTAAAAACCTAACATAGTTGAGAGTGTAAGATTATAAGATTACAATCTTACACTACCAAATATCATGACCCTAAATCAAAACTGCACATGAGGAATACTTAAGAGAAAATCAAAGAAGTCTTTGAAAAACAACCGTAACTTACCTGATATTCTCTTTCACCAATGAACATATTCAGTTCTACTCGCCCATATCTATATATAGAATTACAGGCATACAGATGATACAGAAGTTTCCAAAGTGCCTTTCTTTCATGTTTGATTGGGAAGATTCCAAATACCTTCAAAGGGATACCTGTTAGAAAGACAAACCAAAAAGATTTTTTATAGCATTTTTAATATTTTTTTTCCTATGGCCAAATTTTCTTGCAGCAAACTAAGTTAATAATATTATTATTTATTAATTATAATCTTTGTAGAGACAGTCTTTCGAGGTAGCTCAGGATGGTACAGAACTCAAGTGTTCAAGCTTCAGCCAGGGAGTAAAGGGATTACAGGTGGTACCAACACTCCTGGCAACAATGTTAACTGTCTTAGTGAAATATAAGGCATATTTTTTTTGTGGGGGGGTGCAGTCATGGGGCTTGAACTCTGGACTTGGGCGCTGTTCCTCAGCTCTTCAGCTTAAGGCTAGCACTCTACAACTTGAGCACAGCACCACTTCCGGTTTTCTGAGTGGTTTATTGGATATGAGAGTCTTATGGACTTTCCTACCCAGGCTGGCTTTGAACTGTGATCCTCAGATCTCAGCCTCCTAACTAGGATTACAAGTGTAAGCCACCCGTGCTCGGCTACAAGGCTCATTTTGATAAGAGAAATTGGCCTTTGAGAAAACAAAATGATTCTTTGCATCCAGAGAACATGAATGCTATATTCAACTAAGAACAGTTGCTTCTCAACTGAATGGTACCAATCTATAGACAAGTAAACTGTAAACTATCTACTCAAGAAACAAGATATGCCAGGCTGGTGGCTCACACCTGTAATCCTATCTCCTTAGAAGGCTGAGATCTGAGAATTTTGATTTGAAGCCAGCCTGGGCAAGAAAGTCCATGAAAGCCTTATCTCCAATTAACCACTAAAAAGCCAGAAGTGGGAAAATGGCATATTGCAAAAGCTAGCAAACTATAAGGTCATTGCTTTAGAAATTCACAAAATTACCTTCTGACCACGGAAGTGCTTTTATCCCCAAACTCTTAAAAAGTGTTTTTGAAATCATGATAGGTGGCTTTATTACTTCACACACCTTGGGATCCAGTTTAAAAAAGTCACAGTGGACCACGTCTAGTTTTCCATTCGTATCTTTCCCTAAGGACTAAACACACAGACGACATGTTAAGACAGAGACTTTGCCACAATTGAAACATCTTCTTGAACAAGTAGCCAGGTGTAGGAGTTTTTGGCAGTATTCAGCCTGGCCCATGAAGAAAGACACCATTCAACAAACTAAGGCCTAAGGCCTGAGGATGCAACTCAGCAGTAGAGTCCTGCCTGGCATGTGTAATGCCTGGTTAGAAGCCTATACCACACAAAACAGCAAGCAAAAAATAAACACAATGCAAAGATCTTTGTAACGAAAGTATTACTATCTCCGTGAATATATAAAGAAATAGAGGTTAGAGGTGTGGCTCAAATGGTAGAGCATGTGCTTAACAAGTGCAATGATGCCCTAAATTCAATCCCTAGTACCACCCCCTCCCCCTCACCAAAAAAAGAAAACTAGGCTCTTTTGATATCCTAGAATAAATGAGGTTTCAAACATGACTGACCACACCCAGATTGTTTGTTGAGATGAGATCTTCTAATTGTTTTGTTGAAGCTAGCCTTAAACTGTAGTCTCCCTGACAATAGCCTCTCAAGTATCCAGGATCACAGATGTGGGCCATCATTGCAGAACTTACAACATTAAGAAAAGTGAGGGAAAGGTAGTTGGGAGAGAAGGGTAGGAACGATGAAAGGGGTGACACTGATCAGATGCATTGGATTCCTAACTACTTTGTTGATTAAACTTCTGTGAACTACAGATAAAAATAACATTTTAAATGAAGACAGAGTTCCCAAGAGTTGTATGCACAATTCCACTTTCTTAGGCAACTTGACTAAACAACACATTTTTTTTTTAACCAAAAACATACCTCCAAGTGTGGAATAAAAGCTCTTTCACTTTCAAGGGCAACCACTCTGGAACCAAACTCAAGTAACACTTGAGTCAAAATTCCAGGACCTGGTGTATTAACAAAACAGAAAATTGATTTGCAAAAGATGCAACACAATCTCTTCTTAATATCAAGCTTTTTATTTGCTATAATACGGTATTATCTTTTAAGAAATAATCTTCACTTCCTTTTGTATATAGGGATTAGTCACTTGACTTTACAACAGCCCAACTGGTAAGTAATACAGTGTGGCCTTGAATCGATTCCACCAGGGACTGCAAGGCTTGTACGTACCCTCCCCAGCTCACTACCTATCAGAAACAAAACAAACACCAGAAGGCTGCTTTTAGCCTATCATCTTACTTACTCAGGGGCTGTCAGGTGTACTCAAAGCCAGGAGTGGTGTGAATATTGTATTCCTAGCCACTTGGAAGCCAGCCAAGCTAGCAACCGAGGCAAATTAGCGACATCGGGCTGGGGCATGACTCAGGTAGTAAAGGAAGGCTCTGGGTTCAATCCCAAATACCAAAAACAAAACAATTATTGTCAAGCCTCGTCGGAACTGGCTCTTTATGTGGGAAGTGTTTTAGAAACTGGCTCAAAAAGTCCAGAAACGTACGTCCCGTCTCCTGCGGTGGCGGCCGCGGGCCCAGAACTCCCGGTGGGGAGCGGGGGGGGGGGGGGGGGGGTGCTGACAGCTACTGGAGGGAGAGCGGAGGTTACACCCCGGCGTGTGAGGGTAGTGTGGTGCTAGGATGAAGCCAGACCCGAGGCTCACGTCGGGGGCAGGTCCCCCAGAACGCCTGCGCGCGCGGGGACCTGCGCGGCGAGGCGCCGCCGCCGCCGCCGCCCTCACCGGGATTGCACTCGAGGATGACCGCGTCGCGCCGCGTCCTCCCCAGGAGCAGCTGGCCCAGGGTGCGCGCCAGCCCGCGGTGGGTGATGTAGCGCTTGGGCTCGGGGCCGAGCCGGGACTCGCCGGGGAAGGACTCCTCGAAGTCCAGGTAGGGCAGGGGCTGCAGGTACGAGTCGGAGAAGCCGCGGAGGCCCCACGCCGCCCCGGGCCTCCGCGTCGCCGCCCCGGGCCTCCAAAGGCAGAAGCGACCGGCGCCCGCCAGAGCCGACTGCACCCGGCGCGGAGGAAGCCCCGCGGCCGGGCCCCACATCTTGGTCCCCGAGGTCGGCCCCAGCGACAGCCTAGGGCCGCGGCTCGGTGCTCGGGTGCGGAGGACCTCACGTGCGACCGGACCAGAGCGGGCGGAAACCAACCCTCCGAACTGCGCACGCGCACACCCGACCGCTCGCGTTTTCCCCGCCGCTTCCGCTTCCGCTCTCTCTGCCGCCGTAGGCCTATCAGGGGACCGACAGGGAGGGACAGACCATCCGGGCGTGTCCGGACACGAACTCTATGGTAGTCCGCCCTCGGCGACTGCCTCTCTAGCCGCCCGCGCTCTGTGCTCCGCGGTCTCGGGCCTCCGGCCCGCCCGCCGCCGGGAGGGGCGCGCAGAGAGAGGCGGGGCGGACGGGCGGGAGGCGTCTGTTCCCCGGAGCCGCGGGAGACCCGAGTGAGCCCGGTGACAGCTCGTCGGCCGCCATGTCAGCCAGCGGGGCTGGGAACGGACCCGGCGCCCGGCCGTAGCCCTCCTGCTGCCCCGGAGCCCCAGGTGAGGAGGGGAAGCGCGGGCCGCCGGGGCCGCCGCTCGCCGGCCGCGTCGGGAAACCTCGGCCCTGCGCGGCCGCCGCCGCCTCGGCGTCCCGCGGGCGGCCCCGGGGCCCGCGCCCTCGCCCCGCGGCCCCCGCGGCCCACGTGGGTCTCGGGGCCGGGCCGGCGCCGCGCCTCTCGGGGCTCTGCGTCTCGGGCCCGGGCTCCGCGCCGGCGCCCGGGGTGTGAGGAAGCCGCTGCCCTCCGTGAACTCGGGTGCGCACGCCGCGCCGCGCGGCGCGGGGGTCCCCGGTCGGGGAGCTGCGCGGTGGGCAGCGGCGATCGCGGCGTTGGAGGTCCGCCCCGGCGCCCTGCCTCCCCCTCGCCGGCCGCCGGCCTCACCTGGTCCAGCCTTCCCGCTCACGCTGCTGGGACGCGTGGAGCTTGGCTTTCAGACCCCCCAGGAATGCATCACCTGGCACCCAGCCCAGAGGACCCTCCGCTGACACACCTGGACACTTACGTGACAGCTGAACGTGACCCCCCCCTTTTTGAGTTGCTAGTTTATTCGGACGGCTGTGGGAACCCCAAGGGTTCGCCCTGATCCCATTTCCTTAAGTTTGTTTTTTATACAGTCTCCTCATTGAAAAATTTGGCTTTGGGTCCTGCACGCGCCTGAGACCTTTCTTAGGTCTCGGCCCTTCATTAAATTTTTTTTCATAGATTTAGAAATACATTGGACGGACTTTTCCTCCCAAGAACCCTGGAGGCCTCAATACTTTAAAATCAAACAGAAGATTGTCTTATGGTAGAGGAAGGACATAACTTACCCAGAGAAATGTACTGTTGTTTCTTACTTTTAATATAGACTTCTTCTTGTGCTAGAGACATACTCAAATGGTGAAGCAGCTAGCTAGCAAACCTGAGGTCCTGAGTTCAAACCCCAGTACTTGAAAGAAAAAAGAAGCAGCAGCAGAGACTTAGAGCAGGACGTGTAGCACAGTAAAGTATTTGTCAGATTCTCAGTGTTATATACAACACACTTCTTAAGTAACATTGAGGGGAAATGCTGATTTTCAGAGGTTTTAAATTTCATAACCGAAATGTTCAGTTTTTTGCTTCATAGTGGTGTTATTTCCTTTTGACTTAGGGAGAGAGAATTATGATTGCTCCCCCATTCTGCTTCACTGCTGGGAATGGAACACAGGGCCTTGCACAAACTGTGCTATGCCACTGAGCTAGCTCCCTAGCCCTGGGCTTCTTGAGGTACAGTCTCCATGTGTAACCTACACTGGCCTTGGGTTCCTAAACCTATGTCAGCCACTCCAGTATTGGAATTACAAATGGGTGCCACCATGCCCAACAGTGTTAATAGTTCTCTTGATTGTGGTTGCAGTTGTTTGAAAAATACAATGACAAAACTCAATACATTTTTTTCATTGAGGCCCCGATACTATAAATAAAGGAAATCCCCAGTTCACTTGAAAGATGGATTTTTTAAAAATCAGCATTGAGATCTTTTTAAAAAAAAAAACTTGGTTGGTATACTTTCCATTTAATTTTCTTAAGGGTTGTGGTTTTGCATCTTGTGTTCTTTCTTTTTGCCCTTTTGAAGTAATTTTTCATATACTGCCATGACAAAGTAATTCTGCAGATTATTTTATGGTTGTTTAAAGTTATTTTTCTTAAGAGTCTTAGCTCTCTCAGTTAAATTGACTGAGAAGGGAAAATACAGTCTTGTCTTTTAGCTTTGAAGTGATAACTTTAGGTGGGAAATACCAAGTGACATTGCTAGTTTCCTATCACAGTCTGGTTTGCTATAGGTTTATAGCAGCACCATTCAAAATGAATAGACTGCAAGCCCCTAGAGTATTAAATTTTTCCAGGAGTCATATCACCAAGTAAAAAGAAACAGGTAAAATTAATTTTTACTAATGTTGTATATTTGATCCTATGTATATCACTTCAAAATGTAATTGATTAAAATTAAAAATGAGGAATTAAAACATTAAATCTGCAAACTCTCAGCCTGGCCACCTTGCAGGTGTTCAGTTGACACAGGTGTCCTTAGCTGACCTCAGTGAGCAGCCCTCGTGTATAGGATTGCCATTTGATGCTCAAAATACCTTTTTTTCTGGCAGGGACTGGGGGAGTGAATTTAAAACCTTTTCTCTCTCTCTGTCCCCTCACCCAGCCTCTCCCCTTCCCTCCTGCCTCTCTCTCTCTCTCTCTTTCCTCTCTCTCTCTCTCTTTTTCTTCCTCTCCTCTGTTTCTCTAATGAGCACTAGTGCCTGGCATCTGTGTAGTGAGGATCAAGAGATGAGTGGAGGCTCAGGCATTTCCTGGAATGTCATTGTTACCGTCCTTTGTATCTGTCTGTCAACAACCAGTCGCTGCAGTGTATGAGTCTTTGTTTGCTAAGCCCACTGGCATTTTGTAAAGACAACTTGAAGACCTACACAGCACTGGACCTTTGAGGAACAGGTAGTGTATCTGTTGTACTTCTTTCTAGAACTAGTTTCAGATATGGCTCATCATTTGGGAAATGTGCTTCTTTGTATCTTGGTCTTTCTTATCAAAGGCAAGGTTTTTTAATTTGTTTAAAAGAACAGGAAAAGGTATGTCTTCTGTCACTACTCCTGGGAACCAGGTTTGGGGCGGTTTAAAAGGGGATGTGAGGTAGAGATCTGCATGGAGCCATCTGTGCTTTAGAGCTCAGGTAACCCTGCCGCTGTTGGCCTCTTTGAGGTTCCATCAGACCCATCCTGGTTCCTACCTCGCTCCTGGTATTATGATACATTTCCTTAAATACTACTTTAGTTGGAATGTGTTACAGTTTAACCCAGTGTCAAAATTAGCCTGAAGGCCTAATTTATAATCCTTTTAAAACAAGAACCATGCACCATTCCAAACTTTTACAGTAGTAAAGAAATTTTAAATGACCTGGCCATAAACAGACTCTGTAAAACCTGGTCTTCGTAGTCCTGACAGAGTGTAAATCAGACTGTGGAGTATTATAGGATGGAAGGTAGATTGAGGAGGGGTTGTAGTTATTGCATGTCCTTGCTTTGAAAGAGATATGTACATAGCCTGTTTTATAAGATAGTGTCGCTTGCATTTTGGATAAGAAAGAGGGTACTGGTCAAGGTTGCAGGGAGGAAATGAGAAGATAGAGGTGAGAATACAAAGATACAAAGAATCGTACACCTAGGACTAACTAGTAGAAAGACATATTGCAGGGTAGGAGGGCTGTAGTTAATATGGTTGACATTGTGAAATGATGGATATATTGATATGTTCCCCTGGAGTAACCATATACATATATATAAATATGTACATATCTTATAGCATATTGAATAGCTTAAATGCACGTGGTGAATTTTTTTTATTTTTTATTTTTGGGGCTTGAACTCAGGGCCTGGGTGATATCCTTCAGTTTTTGTGCTCAAGGCTAGTACTCTACCACTTTGAGCCACAGCTCCATTTCCACCTTTCTGGTAGTTAACTAGAGATAAGAGTCTCATGGACTTTCCTGCGTGGGCTGCTTTGCTCAGACCTCAGCCTCTTGAGTAGCTAGGATTACAGGCATGAGCCATCAGTGCCCGGCATGAAATTTATTTTTTTAAAACAGCAGTTGGGATACACCAGCAGAGGGATGGTGAATTACAGGCCAGCTTGGACTGTATAAGGACATGGGGGAAAGTGAGACAAAGAAGAAAGGAACTTTGAGAACAGGCGTACACATTTGTTGTCCACACTACTCCAGAGAATCATTTGAGCCTAGGACAACATAAATTCACCATTAGAAATTTAATTACTACCAATTAGGGCAGTAATTTTAGTTGTTTAGGGAAAAAAAAAAAAACAAAAAACGGAAAGTCTAGCAAGTCAAAGTCTTTGAAGAAAGAGGCTTTCCAAGGTTGAAAGAACATCCAAAAGATTCTGGGTTTTTGTTTGGTTTTTCTGGTACTGGGGCTTGAACCCAAGGCCTTACGCTAACATTTGAGCCACAGCTCTTCTGGCTTGTTGGTGGTTACTTAGAGAAAGAATGTCATGGACTTTCCTATCTGGGCTGGATTTGAACTGGGATCCTCAGATTTCAGTCTCTTGTAACTAGGATTACAGGTGTGAGCCACCAGCACCAGGCTAAGGGTTCTGTTCTTACTAAGAAATTCTAACTTCTATATGTGGATCTTAAGGTGCTCTGTGGTCTCCTTTCCAACTTAGTGCCTTCAAAATGTCACATGAGGGCCTGGGAATGTGGCCTAGCATGCATGAAGCCCTGAGTTTGATTCCTCAGTACCACATAAGCAAAAAAAGCCAGAAATGGCACTGAGGCTCAAGTGGTAAAATGCTAGCCTTGAGAAAAAGAAGCTCAGGGACCAGTGACCAAACCCTGAGTTCAAGCCCCAAGACTGGCAAAAAAAAAAAAACACATGAAATAGATCAAGAAAATGTGGTATATACACAATTGAATTTTATACTTCCATCAGAAAGAATGACATCATTCCATTCGCAAGGAAATGGAAGGGCTTGGAAAAAATCGTATTAAGTGAAGTAAGGCAGATCTAAAGAAACATAGGCTGCCTGGTTTCCCTTATTTGTAATAAT